ATCTCCACGTATGGTTGGAATGTGAACTTCTGTGCCATACGAATCTGGAGGCCAGATTCATGAATCACAAACTTCTGTTGTAGGACTCTTTTGAAATGACCTCTAATTTCGCCTAACTTCCGGCTGAATCTTCAGCATCTATGTGGAGAGTATTACCCAAGCGAAATTTGATCTTTTTCTAGGTGAAGTTTCTTTTTCGACCTTGTGATCGGTGATCGACCTCGGCTGATGCACTTGCTTGAACTGGAAGTGCTTTAGTAGAGACGAAAAAATTAACAATGAATATAACAACAGAAATTTCTTCTTTTGTGAAATCGATCATGGTGACATTCCATTAAAACTTCACTATATAAAAGAAGACAAGACACCGGATCATAACTGATCCAGCTACAGGGAATAAAATGACGAAATGGACATAACATTTAACATATTTGATTTAGCTCACTTTACGATGCGTTCTGCAGCATAAGGATCATCTTGAACACCTACACTGTACATTGTATACATGCACATGGCGATTTCACCCATCTGATGCTATTACCTCGCGTGTGAAGTACGCTGACAAGATTGCTCTATTGACATCAGTACGATCTAAGCCTAAACTATTGCATTTCTGCCTCCATTCAAGAAACGGGCACTGGTTGAGGGAAAATCGCTGGGCACTTAATCGAGAAAAATTCGAGGATTGTAATTTCGGTCGTGCAAGGCGCATAAACAGAGCTCATACGGAACTTGTCCTACCGATTGTACAGTTCCGCAACATCTTGTTTAACAGAAACTCAGGGTAAAATGTCTGGGATTATTTGTGGTTGGGGACAACGAACGAATGTCACGATTGGAAGAGTGCAGCAATCGGTTTCGGAATTGGGCTGATTGACGAGGTTGTGCGTCTGCTGAAAGGTTCTGAAATATTCAACAGTCTTACATTCTACCGCTGTTCCTCCACGATGCACCGGTTAACTTCTGGTGTCTCCTGAGAAAGCGACTGACTCGCATTCAGCATTTCGAAACTGCTTGGCCGACCCCCTAACTGCAGTGCTGACCAGATCAATCCATCCATCCATGTGTCCATCCCAATCAGATGCTTGATAATGACAGTAGTTGCTCTGCTGAATTCTATTCGAACCGACAGAATCAGTGGTTATGCCAATGTTGCCAACAGCACCATTCGAAGCGGCCAAGTTAAATGTCCGTTTGCGTTTCATGAATGGGGGAAACTGAAGTTTATCGAAGGTCAGTCGTTCTGTTCGTTGTGCGATTGATGATCTGTCCAAAGAAAGAAAAACTGTCATTTTGGACCAGACTCTACACCCTGACATGGATTCACTTTCACTGCTGACTTTACTGTTTCGCACTTGTTATTCGTTATATTTAGGCTTTTGGCAACTCATCGTATGCCTTAGGGTTCAGTAAACTACATTTATCAATAAACTGAAAATATCAGTTTAATTCTTTATGCATATGCACAGTTAATCATTATATTGTGTATACACAATGACCGACTGATCTTCTGCGTATCACAGGATTCGTTCTCACTAGTTCACGACCCAATGATTCCAGTGAGACAGCCTGTACGTATAACTGCTGTATGGAGTAGGCGATTTGACGAAGGAGATATGAAAAGAGACAATCTGTTAAGATCGTCACATTAGACTTTACATATAAACTTGGTAAGAGAGTCACTCTTCATAACAAGTTGAGAAACAGTAAAAATGATTGATAATACATATGATGCGATACTGACACTTTTTACTGGTGATCATGGTGGTTTCACAAGAAGGCTAAGCGATCAAACTCTACTTTGCTCCTTCACACAATCTGATTCGCTTGCAGGACAAGTAAAGTGATTGACTGACTGACTGATTGGTCATTTTTTCTTTATTGATGCTTAGCTGATTGGTTGATTCCATAAGTTCATAATTTTACGTCTTCCAGAATGTCGTGCTCAGACGTCAAAACAGAGAAAGCAGATTTATCGAGACTGGCAAATGCTAACACGATCTTAAGTTTGCGCATAGCCTGAAAAGTTTTTTTTAAATGTATGTTTTCCTGTTGGTCAGACACGACCGCGAAGTTTACAGTGCTTAGATGAACGAAATAAAGGGTTTTTCGAAGCTCGTAATTTCAACATCGCTTAAATCATGGGTCCAGGTAATCAGTGCATTGCATAGCGACAGCTTTGAAAAAGACAGACCGAGAACGTATCGAATGTTCTTACACTATCGAATTATAAAAATTAATATTTTATTTAACATTTTATTTTGATAAACATACCAGAGCAGGCATATATCTCAAATACAGCTAAATTAATTCAAAACTGATCAAATGATTATTTAAATCAAGAAATGTGCCTTCCGAATCGGACCCAACGCTATTATATTCTTAAAAATCCCTTAACACCGCATATGGTCCCTTAAAGCTATGATAAAAAATATTAAACCATAACTTAACGTCCAATGTAACGTAAATTATAAAAGAAATTATAGTTGCACGGTAACAGATTAAGCAAAATCTCGTACTATGCTTCGGCATCATTTCCATCTGC